CAAGCGCCGCGCGCCCGGCGCCCCCCCCCGCAAGCGCCGCATGCCCGAGGCGTGAGCAGCCAATTCGCGGCGCTCCCGGGGTTGGCGCTTACCATGCGCCCGGGCCAGCTCCGGCACTGTGCATGCACCATGTGCCCGGGGCCAGGCCAGCCCTGAGCACTTGGTGGGCGCACACAAATGGCACCGTGTTGGGGACCATGGAGTTAGTCTATAAGGTGCCACAGGACTCCTCTCCGCTTTTGATTAGTCAATTAACTAATATTTAACATCTCTAATAAATATGGAGCAATTTTATCACAGATCTTGCAATATTTCATATTTCTCTTTAATCCTCAGGTTCCTGTGATTTAGTAAAAATCTCTGCTCTCATTAAGTAAGTGCAGAAACTAGAAATTAAAAAAGCTTCAAAATATGTTGCATTTTTAAAAAATTCGAGATCAAAACAGCCTCCCTCTCCCTTACCCCACCTTCCGCACTAAATTTGATTTGTCAGTTTAATAACATGTTCACCTTTTTCATTGTAGTCCTTTGGTATATATGGCTATGCCAGTTCTCTTCCAGAATATGATCTGAGGAAGTGGGTCTGGCCCACAAAAACTCATCATCTATTAAACCATCTTTTTAGTTTTTGAAGTGCTATGTAGTTTTTCCTTTTGTTTTAGCAAGATCAGACTAACAGGGCTACCTCTCTATGACTATGAGACAGTTAAAGTGCTTAGTCTGTGTAATAATTTACAATGAACCAATGTCCCCAGCTGCAGCACTAGCAAAATGGCTTGGATGTAATTATGTAATTAACGGTGAGTTTCCATTAGCGACTGGTGGCCTGACTCTGTATGGCCCTTCTTATGCGCTCCAGCCACTGCTGACTCTGCTCCCTTAGCAGGCTCCTGAACGCCGCCTTCGCTCCCCGCTGCTGTCAGCCGGTTACTGAAGGATCCAGCCAATCAAGTTGCCTTACCCCACACCTGGTTAAATTCTACCAATCGCTAGACTCGGATGATTTCACCAATCAAACCCAAGCATTCCTCCGCTCCTCCTCTCTCCCCTCCCACCTCGTCTCGGTAGCCAATCTTCATCGCGGGCCTAAAGGGCTTGGCCAATCAATCCTAGCGGATCGATTCCTCCCTCACGTCTGTCCCCGCCTTCATCTGCGGCTCTGGCAAGCCTGATGGAGTGGAAATCCCCTCGTAGCGGCAGGGTTGCTGAACATGTGTGTGTTTGCCCAATAGGAGGGAGAGTGGCCGGCTCGGGGCCTTGTGGTTGGTTCCGGCAGAAGGCTGAGGGCGGTGCTATGGGTCTAGCAGGGTAGGTTTTACGGGCCGGGCCGGCTCTGAGGGGGTGGGTTACGCGGGTTGCCTCGCTCTTGAGGAGTCCCGTGAGGGTGTCAGGTGGCTGGGAAAGTCCCCGCGCCAGCGGCTCCGGGGCTGTCGGGAGGGGCGGGGTGGGCGGTAGCAGCGAGGTGGCTCGCGGGGCGGAGGATGAGGTGAGTGATGGGCCCGGAGCGGTCGCTCTGCGCTTCGGGGCTGCCTCCCGCTGCCCTCTCCCCCCCC